AAGAAAAGAGTTGTCAATTAGCCTTTGCTCTTCTTCACAACACATGATGGAATGTGATCTCTGATACCGCTCGAGTCGACTCGGACAACTCAACCAAGTCCTGTTCCACTTGTTAACACCCTCAGAATTAAACACACTACGAAAAAGAGGCAACACCTCCACACTTCTCTCCATCTTCCAAAGACACCAAGACAAACAGAGTCTTTTCACTATCAACCCATATAAAAGAAAATCGCCAATTCATTGATGGATTTGGTGGGCCAAGTCGAGCCTAGGCGACCACCGAGTCCGAGCTGGTGGTCTCGTAGGGTCCATGTAATAGGTTCTGGGCTTTCTAGCATTGCCTCAACCCGAGGTTGGCCCCACTTTGTTAGCTCAGTGTTCGGTTCGGCCTCTTGGCCTGTACAATCCTTGTATACTTCAACACATTTTTTCTAAAACTTCTAAAAAAATAATAACCAACTAAAAGTAACTTGTGTTTGTCAATATAATTAAAGGGTAAAATGCAAAAAAAAAAAAAAAAAGAACCTTTGAATTATGAGAAAACCTGTAACTAACCCCACAACTATTAAAAATATAAGAAATTTTCTAAATTATACAAATTCGTTGTAGATCATCCCATTTGGGCAAGGTTCGGTGAAAGTTTATCTTTAAAAATAGTTGAATCATTTTAGGGTTAATTTCACTGATACCCCTTCAGATTTAATCAAATATCACCCTCAAATATCTTTCGAAATTAATTATCACTCAAACCCCAACTTAATTTTCTGTTACTTTTTCGTTAAAAAAGTCCAAATGAAAATTTTATCCCTATTTTTTTAATCTATTTTAATCCAAAATATCAAAAGTCTGAAATAACCAAATTGCCCTTTTTTATGACAATGTCATCCACAAAACTCTTCATCTCACTCTTTTCTCTATAAATATAAATAATGAAATATATATATATATAAAGAATAATTTTAAATTTATATAATGAAGGTCAAAGGGTATTTAAGTTATTTCAATCCTTTGTAAATCAACAGATAGTTAGAAGGGTAACAATGCCATTTCAACTGCAAAAGTACCTGATATACTTGAAAAGTAACTTTGAGGTGTAAGTGAAAAACGGACCAAATATTTGTAATGAAACTATGCAAGCGATAGTTATTTTCGAAACATGATTCATTGTGATATTTGGCCAAACCTGAGGGGGGTGTCACTGAAATTAATACATCATTTTAAAGGACCATACTGCCCTCATAATCATGCAATGACAAGAATGCCCTTAATTCCATGGAGCCCCATTGTCACCCAGTTACCCATTGTCGCCCAGTTGCATCATAAACGCCGCAAAGGAAGCAGCCACCAACTGCCAACAAATCTCCATCGCCGTTCTGACAACTCCGGCAAGGTAGAATATAGCCGTAAGCCCACCACCACCAGTGGACAGAACCGAGACCCACAAAAGGTGGTCATGCCAAAGTTAATCCTTGGTTTCTCAAACTGTATTGCCTTAATTTTGTGTTACAGATGAAGAACATGGCATTGTAAGAATCGAGAGCTTATTGGAACTACAATCTATGTGGCCCTATTGATGCAACACTGACATAACAATTATGTCGAGTCCAAATCGACGTGAAACTACCTTGCTTTTGGTTATTTTTTATAAATTAGTACTTCCTTTATTTCAAAAAGAGTGTCTCTTTTAGAAAACTGTGACTCACAAATTGTGCGTCACAGTTTCCCAAAACAGACACTCTGTTTTGGATAGAGAGTATATAAATTAAACTTGCTCGAATTGACTTTTGCATAAAATAGATATTGAGGACTTGGTTTGGGATGGGACTGAATTTGGTTGGATAAATTAATGCTATTTACAATGTTTTTGTTCTTGTACTTTAAGTTTTTATATAGCCTGAATTTAATTAAATTGTTTAAAATAGAAATCCTTTTTTTAGTAAAATCTATAGGGTTGCTTTGGGATTTCTAGTGAAAAACCTGAAAGGAAATAATATGGGAGAAAATCATATGTTAAAGGCTTGCTAAAATGAAAAAGGCTATAAGTAGCACAAAATATAAGAGGAAAATAACGTAGACAAACAAAAACTTCCTCATTCTCACTAAAGGACTTAAAATAATTAGATGTTGGGTATTCTGGTCCGGCATTGTTCTTCTTCTTCTTCTTCTTCTCCACCTGTAAGTCCTCAATCACTGTCTTTGTCACCATTGCTCTTGGTACCTCCCAGGGTGGTTGTCCATCACGAGAATTCAGAAAATTTATACTCAGAAGAAGACTATTTTAATTTCTTCAGCCTTTCGGAGCAGAATGAATTTAGGGTGAGAAAGAATCTTAGTATACCGTGGCAGAGGGACCTCCTTACTCCTGAATCCGCACCATGTGTGGGATCTTCTCATGGCTGGCTGGTCTTTTACCACCCTCTCAATTGCCAATCCTTATCTCTACAACCCCTTGATAGAATCTCCTCATTTCCCCTACATTCCCCTCCCTTCCGTGGAAACCCTACCCTCCGTTTGTGGCGTTCGCCTCTTCAAATCAGATCAGTTCTCTCCTTCCCCTCCTCTCATCACACGCCTTCTAGTCTTACCCAACATCCAGGAGGACACATTAGAGCTTAACGCTGCCTCTGAAGAAGCCTTTGCTTTTAACGTACGAAGGCTTGTTATGTCATCAGCCCCATCCGTCCCCTATTATTCTTCATCATCAAAACCAGAACTTGATGATGATTGCACTATAATGGCCATCCACAGCGGCGGATCTTCTAATATTGCCTTCTGAAAACCCGGTGACGAAAGGTGGACCCTCTTGGACGGTAAGATCCCACCTTATACTGACATCATATATTTCAGCAAGGATCAGTGATTTTATGCCATGAGATCAGATTGTAATAGCATTGAAGCTTGGGACCTCAGAGATCCTTCTTGTCCCAAAAATGAAGTGTTTGATGGTCCTTCTTCCTCTTGTCCCGGGCAGCTTGGGGACAAATTAGTGGTTTCTTATAATTGTTATCAGACAAATTATTTAGTTGAATCCTCTGGTGATCTTTTGGTGCTTTCCAGGTTTATAGCTATAAGTGGCATTCCACATCCCCGCAAGTTGGAAGAGAAAGCAGTGAATAACAATGATGATGAGGAAGGAGAAAATTATTTGCTTCACGACGATGATGCTTATTGGACTCTGGGATTTGATGTTCGTAAGTATGATTTCAATAACAATCGGTGGGAATGTGTGGAATGCTTAGGTGACCGGGTGCTATTTGTGGGTTCTAATAGTTCTTTTTCCCTCTCAACTCGTGATTATCCAGAGCTGAAGGAGAATTCTATCTACTTCACTGATGATCATTTTATAAGATTTAACGAAATATATTCTGGTCATGATAATGACGTCTTTCACTTAGAAGATAACAGCATAAAACCTTATTATCCGAAAAGATCGAAGATCATTGACCCACATCCAATTTGGGTTACCCCTAACACAGTGTAGTTCTACAAAAACAGCTATCTATCTCCTTTGGGCTTACTAATTAGATTGTTGTTTCCTCATTTCATCTAGGTAAGTTATTCGACTCGGTTAGTTTGTGGTGTTTATACACTTGATTATATATGCAATTGTCTAATATGTGTTTGAAAAGGTGTTTTTGCTCATAATACTCATTTTTTTCCCTCGCTCATAATACTCATTGTTACTGTATTGCTTAGTCTTCATTAATGCGTGCATATAGTTTACTGATTTAATGTAGATTTCAAGCTGCTGCTGCTGCTGCATTTTTTTCTTTTTTCTTTTACTTTGTGTGCGCGCTCACGGGCTCGCTCCCGTCATAAAATCTGAAGTTTGACTACAATATTTATTGCTTGCAGTGCTAAAGTAATGGAGTGTTGTAACTAGTCTATTTGATAACTTTATTCCAATCACTAATCTCAAATCGTTATGTACAGTATTTCTTTGACTACAATAAGGTATATGTTTACTAATTTCAAATTGGACAAAAAAAAAATAGGGCTCTAAAAGAGCCTGATTGGCCAATTTGGTAGGTGTGTGTATAGCACAGTTCTTGAAATTTTCTAAGTATTGTTCTTTATCACGTGATTTCTTTTTGGATTTTGATTCATTCTTGTGGTTTTCTTTCTCCTGATGTTTGCCTTTTTTTTCTACTTTTTTTTTTTCTTTTTTTTTTTTTAACTTCCAACTACCTACGGTAGAAGTTTGGCAGAAACTCATCAATGTTCTGGTCAAAGTGCACAGATTGATGCTGCCAGAATTCATACTTAAGTTTTTTTTCTAAGAATGGAGTTGATAGATCCTTTTCGAGTATTTTAAACATTGCGAAGTTGGTTCTTTCTTTTTCTGAAAGTTGTGTGGTCTCTCACACACAGATTTACCCACCTCCAATACCTTCCTCATTATCTGGACAGCCGCACATACATTTTCCTTCTCCCACCATAAAACCAATACGGCCAATCAACAACCCACTACAAAACAGAAGTAAATCCAAGCCACTGCAGCAAGCTTCTTCTACAGGTAACCTTCCTAGGAATTTCAACCCTCTGCTTTACACGTCTCCAGCTCACCAAATTGATAGATTACAAGAACAACTTGAGTGGAAGGATGAGAACTTAGGGAAAGCTATAGAAATGTACAACAATCAGAAGAAGATCAATGCAGAGCTACAAGCTAAACTTGACAGGGTTAAGCTACAGGTCAGCCACTTACAACAGCCACCACCACAACCACCACCTCCTCCTCCAACGGCACAGAAGGCACCAACATGGTGGGACCAGGTTTGAATCCAAATTCAAATTTGAATCTAGCTAGCAATGCTGTACCATCATCTTTGCAGGCCAAAGCCAAAAAAAGTATGGCTGCAGTCAAACATAGAAATACCATTGACCAAGGTCTACAACTTACCTCAAACATCCAACCTACTGATCACCTCTTACAACCTACCACATATATCTAAGCCACCCCAACCACTACATTACCACAAACATCCAAGCAACCGATGGACAATACAGATACTGTAACAGCTCAACCACCACATGTTTTACCAATAGACATATCAGTTACGTTACCCTCACATGCAATACCAATAGACAACAAAGGTACTGTATTAGCTCAACCACTCCCTATTACCCACACATACAGACAATTTGAAAACCAATTAAACCACAATCACCATCCCCAGGCAAAGTTTTGGTTAAATGTAGTGCAACAAGGTACCACCAAGATGAAGTTTGAATACATTGTTCCGACCACTGAAACCTCAAATGTGATTGAACTACCTAAAGAAGTGGTTGATGAAGGACTAAAATTCTGGAGCTCGTATCACTTGGTTGGGTTCTCAACTCATAAGAAACTTCCTTACAAGGTGGTACAGACTGCTGTAACAAAATTGGGGAAATCATTTGGCCTAACCAATACCATCCAAGGGGAGAACAACACCTTCATCTTCAGATTCAAGAGCTCTATAGAGGTTGACACTATTCTGTCTCATGGTCCATGGTCATTAGCTGGACACCCTTTTTCATTACTGAAATGGAACCAACTAAACCAATCACATCCATCTCACTTAGGCAGTCTACCAATTTGGACCAAGTTCTACAATATACCACCTAACTATTGGACTGCCAAGGGTTTAAGTTACATTGCAAGTGCTGTTGGAGAGCCATTTTATGCTGATGAAGCCACTGAAGCAATAACAAAGCTGAAGTTCGCCAGAATCTGCATCAACTTAAATCTGAACAAACCTCTCAAACATGAAATCCAACTCAAAATGGATGACTCGTCCTTTGTGGATATCAGGATTGAGTATCAATGGTTACCAAAGATCTATGGAAAATGTAGGCAACTCAATCATTCAGATGCCAATTGCCCTCTCAACTACATTAACCCCACTCACAGAAAAGGGACAACAACTTCACCATGCACAAAGGACCACAGCCCTGCAATCCAACTAGTTTCTGAATGGGTAACAGTGAGGAAGAAGAGAAATAAAGGCATAACCATTGTTACTAAACCCAACACTCCAACCACAATCAACCCCTCAACCTCAAACCAATTCTCCCCATTACAATACCAAGCATAAGACACCAATAACACAAACACAACAAATAACCTCAACTCACCATCACCATCACCATCAAATCAATCCCTCTCCTCAAACAATACAAGGGTTAGCAATTCCATCTCAGATTCACAGTCATATAATTCTCCCCCTCTATCACCACATTCCCCTCTATGTAGTAGGAAACTTAATTTCTCCCCATCAACAACCATAACTCCCTCCTCCTACAAGCATACCACATCCAAAATACCAATCCCACATTATTCCTATCCAACTACAGTCCCACAAAAGAAGAAGAACAGGAACTCCAAGTTTCTCGAGCCTACAGTTGAGGGATGCAATAAGACTATTGCAGCAACAGTTTCTCCAACTCATGCCAAGTGGACCACATCCCCCTACTTTCAACCACTATCTTCACTCAGTGATCCTGGTTGCAGCATCCAGCTAGTCAATAAAAGGAACATGACAGCAAGAAGCTTGAAGAAAATTGCAAGGATAAAAGAGAATGCCAAACCTGGGTTGATGCCGGAGGGTTACTTAGTTAACTCAAAGCATCTTGGAGGTCATTTCTCTTCACCTTTCTCATGATTTCTCTTCTCACATGGAATATTAGAAGGTTGAATCAACCCTCTATACAATCAGAGATTAAGAAATTAATCTCCGAGAGAAAACTGGATATTGTTTCCATAGTGGAGACTAAGGTAGTTAAGCTGAATGTGGCAGCTATCCATAGATTTATTGCCCCTAACTGGCCTATTACAAACAACTTTTCTTTCTCTGAATTAGGAAGAATATGGATTATGTGGAACCCAAGTAATGTTAATCTCTCAGTTCTTAACTGCAGTAGACAAGCAATCCATTGTTCCATCTCAGTTATTGGTCAACATACCTCATTTTTTACTACTTTCATCTATGCTGCTAATTGTGCCAATGAAAAACAGATCCTGTGGGATGACATAATCCACCATTCAGCCGTCTTTGCAGACTCTCCATGGCTTTTAATGGGGGATTTCAATGCCATTCCCAATAGAGGAGAGAAATATGGTGGTTCAAAGAAATGGTCATCAGCTATGACAGATTTCAAGGAGTGTTTTCAATCTGCAGAATTGGAGGACCTAAAATTTTGTCGTATTCTCTATTCTTGGTCCAACAAAAATATAGGAGAAGCTTGCATTATAAAGAAACTCGACAGGGCTTTGGTAAACCAAAGGTGGACATCCTCATTTATAATTTCAGAATGCAATTTCCTCACCCTAAGCATCTCTGATCATAGCCTTATCTTGGTTGCAATTGACCTCAACTCACCAAAGAGGCATATACCCTTCAGGTTCTTTAATGCATGGACCACTCACCATGATTTCCATTTTTCAGTTCTTAAAGCTTGGAACACTTACATCAAAGGAACTGCAATGTTCCAAGTTGTCCAAAAACTCAAGTTACTTAAACCTATCCTAAGAACTTCCTGTGCTAGAGTCTACAGACTTAGAGTTAAAAATGCATGTTGTGCAACTAGAACTCCAAGCTTGCCAAATGGACCTGGATGCAGCACCTGGTGACACCATTCTTAGAGGAATTGAAAGGGCTTTAACAACAGATCTCTTGAGATTGGGGAGACTACAAGAGGATACTCTAAGGCAAAAGTCGAGAATGTTATGGCTGAAGCTTGGGGATTGTAATTCATCCTATTTCCACAAGTCAATCACATCCAGAAATAATAGGAAGAAGATAATTTCCCTCATTTTGGATGACGGCAGAACAATTCATGATGTGGAGGAAATTAAATTTCAAGTTGTCAACCACTTTCAAGCCTTGCTTAGTTACTCTCCCCCTACTACCCACCAAATCACTGATTTATCACCTTTTATCACTAAGGAAGTCCCATCCAATCTGCACTCTTATCTTCAAGACATGCCAACCATTTTGGAAATACAGACTTGCATGATGAAGCTAAATAAGGACAGAGCTCCTGGTCCAGATGGCTATAATGCCTTGTTTTTCCAAAAAGCTTGGGACATTGTGGGGAGATATGTTATAAAGGCCATCTCTAAATTCTTTAGAAATGGAAAATTACTTACAGAGGCAAACAACACCTACATTGCCTTGGTTCCAAAATGCCAAAACCCAACTACACTTCATGACTACAGGCCTATCTCTTGTGTAAACACCGTATACAAGTGCATCTCCAAATTGCTTGCAATAAGATTACAGTCCACACTGCCTCGCCTCATTGACCAATCCCAGTCAGCATTTGTCCATGGAAGGAGGATAAAAGATCCTATACTACTAGCACATGAGTTACTAAGAGGGTATCACAAACATGGAAGACCAGCAAGATGTGCAATCAAGGTGGATCTAAAGAAGGCATTTGACTCAGTGAAGTGGGACTTCATCATTAGCTGCCTTTCTCTACTAAAATACCTTCCAAAATTTATTTCTCTCATCAAGGCATGCATCACTTCTCTCTCATTTACAATTGCTCTAAATGGTGAGTTCTAAGATTTTTTCAAAGGTAAAAGGGGTCTTAGGCAAGGGGATCCCGTTTCCCCTTTCCTGTTTGTGATTGTTATGGATGCTTTCTCCTCTATTGTCAACAATTATGTAGGAATGGTGCCCTCTTTCAAGTTGCATTGGAGGTGCAGAGAACACAAAATCACTTATTTGTCCTATGCAGATGATCTGTTACTATTTTGCCATGGAGATATTACATCAGTCTCAGTCCTCAAATCAGCTCTTGATCTTTTCTGCTCTATGTCAGGCCTAAACATCAACCTATCAAAGAGTGAGGTTTATTTTTCTGGTGTAAATGACCACACTCAGCATCAAATTTCTACATTGCTAGGTATTCAATCAGGCACACTACCAGTGAGATACCTTGGAGTGCCATTGATTTCTACAAATTTGAAGTCTCAGCATTGCAGTTTGTTGGTAAGCAGAATCACTCACAGAATCACTAACTGGACTTCCAGATCTCTCTCATATGCAGGTAGACTCCAATTGATAAATTCAGTGTTGGTGTCAACTCAAAACTACTGGTGCAACATTTTCATTCTGCCAAAAGGAGTAATTGATGAACTTAACAAGATTTTTAGGAGATTTTTGTGGTCAGGGCCAGAAATGAAGTCTTCAGGTTCTGAGGTAGCTTGAAGTAGGGTGTGCAGTCCTAAATCTGTAGGTGGTTTGGGGATCCCCAATTTGGAGATTACAAACAAAGCTGGAATAATCAGATTCATTTGGGACATTCTCAAAGAAGACATAAATAGATTGCGGGTAAGGTGGTGCCACTCTCATCTACTGAAGTCCAGAAACCTTTGGTCATTGAACTACCCTCAGCCATGCTCTTAGAGATGGAGGAAAATTCTCCAACTAAGGCACCCTACTAGACAACTCATAAAGTACTCTATAGGCAATGGTGCTAACACTTCCTTCTGGTAGGACAATTGGGCTCTAGGGGGTCCTTTAAGTTCAAGATTTCCACTTCATCTGCTCACTGCAGCTGGTTTCAATGGTACAACAACTATGGATACATTCATTGTCGACAGCAACTGGTCATTCCCTCCTTCTCTTACTAGTGCAATCCCTGAATTGCTCGCATTACCACCTCCATGCCCTTCTAGAAGTGACAGTAAGAAGTGGACAGTCTCACCTAATGGCAACTACTGATTCAAACACACTGTGGCACACATGGTAGGTGACCTTCCTATTGTCCCATGGCACAAACTTGTTTGGCACACTCCAACCATACCAAGAATGAAATTCAATCTTTGGTTGGCTGCTCAATGCAAACTACCAACACTCGACAATAAATCTATGGCTAAACATCATAACATTTGCTCCCTCTGCAACATATCAGGTGAGTCTCATGATCATTTATTTTTTAATTGCAACTTCACCTCCCCTCTATGGCGTTTTATCAAATACAAAAGCAACATTCACACAACAATTACAAGTTGGGAGAATCTTGTAGTGTGGATCAGCACTAAATGGAAAGCAAATAACCCAATTAACCTGCATAGGAAATTATGCATATCAGCTTTGGTATACCATACCTGGGAAGAGAGAAATTGTCGAATTTTCAAAGGACACAAATCATCCCAGAGAGTCGTCTGTACAAAAGTTTGCTCCACAATAGCAGGTATTTTGAAGTCAGGTTGTCTGAGAGAATGCGCTTCGGCGAAATTGATCCTCATGGATTGGAATTTATCTCCTTTATATTGTAGGCCTCCTCCTCGGCCGCTGGACTGAGACATCAAGGCTTAGCCCTCCTTTGTTTTCACCGGATTGTATTGATGCTCCATTAACGGCAGTTAGTGGTGGTTATCTTACTTTATGTATGTCCTAGTTTGGACCTGTATTGCAGCGTTGGGCTTCTTTTTCTTATGGGCCAAGCCCAACTTTTGTAAAGTTCTTTACTTAATGAAAATTGCTTTAATTTTTGAAAAAAAAAAAAAAAAAAAGTTGTGTGGTCTTCTGCATCAGGCTTCCTAGAATATTACACAAGTTTAATATGCATTTTGTCCGATACCGTAACAATAATGTTTGAAGAGTAACTCTATTAGTGTACCAGTTCACTAGTAGAGAAGAATATAATCTCTCCTTTCACGATAGGTATTTATTCTAAACTGATTTGTGCTTGAAAATATATATTTTTTTTTTGCTCATTATTTTCGTTGGCCGATGGTCAATTTTTTTGTCTTACTAAGAAAGTCCTTGGAGACTGCTATAGCAAAAAAAATGGATCGATTTTTATATTATATTTATGCCAAACATATATGTATGTCTACATCTAAGCTATTATACATGACTACTCATTATTTATTAAATAGAGATGACCTTGTTTTCGTCTTGTCAAAAAGAAATTTTTTATTGAACATATAAAAAAAATTTTGGGTCCTTATTGTTTTTTTAGTACCATACTTTTATTTTGATCCGAGATAAGTTATTTTGTGAGGTTACCATTAATATTACCTGGGACATGTGCAAGCCTAGGAAAGAAAAAGCAATAATATAGTCACTTTTATGATATTTTTTTAATAGAGTGGTGCTATACAACCGACTAGGAAAAACCAACACCCACGTGGTTGTCCAAATATGCGAGCTTTATTTTTTTTTTCTTTTCTAAGCAAAAGATCGATAATCTCACGGGTGAACTGAGGAAGAAGATGACAATGGAGCAACGTGCTTCGGTGGCGAGATGAATCACCGGAGCAGCAACTGAAATGACAAGGAGTGAACCGGTGTGCACGGACTGAACTTACCAGTTACCATTGAGCAGTCTATTCGTTTTCTATACAAAACTTTGATCTTGGTAAGCTTTTCAGGGAAAAAGTCAACAGGTCTGCCGGCAGGTTTTTCGGCCAAATTGACAAGCGACCTAGGACTCCATCAATGATTCGGAAGAATGTGAGAGAGTGAACAAGAACATATAAGAAAGTTTGAAAAAATTGAAAATTTGAGGATGTAGGGAGAGAGAAGAAGCATAGGAGTCAGATAGAGTCACGAGAACATCATCGCCGGAACAATTATATAGGGAGAAAGTTTGGTCAAAGAAAATTAATAGCTTAGTGCAGCAATTTTTTTGTCGGTATAAAGTTGTCAGTCAACAATATCATTTTCCTTTCTAATATATTATTTTAGTATGTAATGTGATATTTTATTTTATTATTCAAAAAAATATAAAAGAGTTTTTATTAAACACAAATTATTCTATTTTATTTTAATAAACTATAAATTTTGTAAATACAAATTACTGTATTAAACACAAACTTTTTGTAAAATCCTTTAATTGAGAATAGTTTTATATATGGTTATATATTATAAAAGATATCTTTTTTACATTAATTAGGACTCTTAACATAAACAAACTCATTCACTCAGATGGATAAAAATCATTATATCTGTGCTGTTGTTCTTTTAATTTTGTATAATTACAAAACTGTAAATACTTCTGCTTTCTATACTAAGTGTGAATAAGAGCAGGTTCAATGATATCATTTCTAGCTATGTTTGGTGCACAGGAATGAAATGGAATACAGATTTCAATCATTCTTTTGTTTAGTATGCAATTTAAAGTAGAAATAGTCCTTCTATTGGAATGAAAATCCATTCTTATAAATGAAAATTAATTCCACAACTAAACATATGGAATGGTTATTCCATTCAAAACTCTCATGTTCCAATTACAAAAATTACCATTACCTTTCACCATAACCACCTCCGTCTACCACCACTGACTTCCACCGCCTTCCACTGTCACCGCCACCGACTTTCACTACCGTCCACCGCTTTCCACTACCACCATTGCCATTGCGATCACCTTTTACCACCGCCACTACCGCTGCCGCCACCACCACCGCCACCGCCACCGCCACCGCTTTTTACCAACGCTACTGCCTTTCTTGACTGTCACAACCTTCCATCACCGCCACCACTTTCGCCTCCCACCACCGCCTTCCACC